TTCTCAGAGTAAACAGAGCAGTTTATAGTCATACAATGAACTTAAAAGGAATCCCAAATACAGAAGATGATCAGCTTTATTTGTGCAGATATCCCCATTATCATCCATTAGTTTCCATACTAGAAAACGACGACAAAATACAGGTCGTAAGGTGCAATCCTCCATTTGATCCACGAATTATGCTGAAGAAATGTGGAATTCATTTAGTTTATGAAAATGATGACGATTATGATGGCATCGAAGAATCATTGAATGAAAATTTACAAACAGCATCGAACTACTCCTGAGGAACACAACAGTATCTCAAACTCTACTCAAGAAGATGAAGGACAGGAAGGAAATGGAGTCCATTGCCTGGAGTTTGTATTTGGTAGTTTAAGGCCGCTTTTGGCTAAATGTCTTCTTTGCTTTGAACAAAATGCTGTGAACTCGGAAGATTTTGATTTTCGACACTGCTACTCGTTATGAAACATATATTAAGTGCTTGAAAACATTAAGATAGTGTCTAGTGATTTCCAATACTAACATATTTGGCTAAGTAAAGTTTAAGTAACTTTTAATTCTTATCATATTTGGATATGTTTGTATTTTCTTGTTTTTATGTAAAAAAAATTACTTATTTTGCATACCAAACATGTACTCGTAGAATATGAAACGGTTACCTGTCAATTTCACACACAAATGACATGATAAAGGTGTTGATTTGCAAACCACAAAGGCATGGAAAAAAACAATGAATAAGGCACAAAATAGAACAGAAGAAACAAGAGGAAGTTGCCCATTTTCTGGGAGCCAAAGCAACGTTTTCCCTCCAATTTTGGCAGCCACGTTTTTTGTCCTCTCACACACAAATCAAAACCGTGAAAACAACTAGGTTAAGCAACATATATATAGGAATATGTTATGCTTTAGTTGGACCAATAAAGAGGTTAAATGGGCTAAGATTACAACGGGTAAATATATGGGCCATGAGCAATATTAATTCTCTAAACTACTTGCGACGGTCTATGTTATTTTCGGATCGAGCCTTTGGACTTGGTAGTTGATAACCCATTCACCATTGGCCGAGGCCTATGAAAGTATATTTCAATGTTTTAAATCATAGCTCGAGATTTATTGGGTATAAAAATTTAACAAATCTCCACCTTGATACCCAATCAACCTAGAAGCAATCAAAACAAAAAGTTAATACCTACGTAATCAAGGTAACCAATAAAATTAGGATCACAGACCTTACCTCATGTTTGGGATTCGAAACACATACCATACCTCTTCCATTACTCACTAGGGCTAAGGTCAAAAAATACCTAAATAGAAACAAATAAGAATAATAATCAATCAAGAGTATATCACATATATGTTGAAGATATAACATAGGATAACACGCTGATATTTTCAAGCATGTTCACACAGAACAACATATTAACAACAATCAGTCAATCAAACAGCTAACACATATGCAACAAATGAATAAATGACCCCATGAAAATATCTCACCATACTCATCCTATCCTATTTCGTGTTGCTCGCATCTCGAGAACACATATCTTCTTTCATCGCCCACCATACTCACTAGACAGTTTCCTAACTCATGTTTAATTGGTAAACCACAATAGATCCTAAGTCCACGGGATAATCCTCTATCACCACACTTTTCCTAACCTAAGTGGATAATTGGTCTCTACCTAACAAAAGTGATAGAAGTGTCACTTTCACACTCCACTTGTACAAGGTCTTTTACATATAAAGGATTCCAGACATTTAATCACATCTCCACTTGTATCCCAAAATATCACACTTCACATCCCTAATACTACCAATGTATATCTAGGAATCTATACTCCACATCACCAATAGACATGCAACACACTTACTGCTAATGCATCCCAACCCACTATGCATACAAACACATTATACCAAGAAATCAGACTGCTCTCAAATCCAAGTAAATGCACATCAAACACATTGAAATGCAACATATAATAATGCAACAGAATTAAACAATCACACACATGTAGAAAGGATTACAAACAGATGCACATACACTAACTAGGTTTACTTTCAAAACCTCACTAGGGTCGAGTGATGACCCTATAGCTATATTCGACTCACATCTCATCTTCCCATTATGTTTATCTTTTTTCTTGGGACTGTCTCTCACAAAATGTCCAAACTTATCACAGCTATAACACTACTTACCACCGAACTAGTCACAACCCTTGCCCTTCTTCTTACAACTCTCATCACTCGAGTCACTACTATTTTGAGCTCTACCCAAATTGGTTTGCTTAAATTTTATTCTACTCTCATCATATATATCTCTCCACTCTTTTTATCATCTTTTTCAGCTTTAAAATCCATCTTCTTACTCCTAAAAGAATCTATGACAATCTTGGTGTTAAGGTGTCCCTACCATACTTAATCGCATTCTTAACCTCCCTATGTGAGCCAGACATGGAATTCAGCAAAATAAGGATCTTATAAGTTTATGACACATTTTCATCATAATTAACAATGTTTTGAACCAACTTGTTAAAAACAACCAAATTGCCGTCAAGATCTTTTGAAAGATCTAGTATAAGATTGAAAACTCTTTCAAGCAAATACAACTTCTTCGGAGTAAACTAAACAAATATAACTTTTTTCAAAGTTATTTTGTAGAATCAAGTTTTTCAACTTTTATCGAAACTTTATCAGATAGGTGTAAAATAATTAAAATGCAAGCAAGTTCATCATATTCTTCCTTTTGTATTTCTATCAAATTTGCAGAAAATCTGTCATTTATGGCTTTTGAAATTTTTTGTTGAATCAAAATCTCCTTCATCTTTGTTGCCAAATTTAAAATATCTCTTTTCCATTGAAAACTCAAATTTCAAAATGTGAAGACATTTTGAAAATTTGAACAATCAAAGTGCACAAATGAGTCCTATGGTTTCGTGAGATTCGAGATCTTAGCATCAAGGGAATGTTCAAACGGGTCAAATCCATGTATTCTAACAAAATAATCAATGCAACGAAAAAGGTATATCAACAAAAAATAATTTATCATACAATGCAATCTCACATAGTGACTTAATGGCAGTTAAATACAAAAGTTACAATCAACTTGCAATTAAATTCAGCACTTCAAATATGTCAAATAATTTCTAAATTTCTAGTACAAGCAATGATTATCCTACACGGTAACTCCAATCCTAATGTCATCCCACACAATAACTCATCAATATTGAAATTTAAATAGGATAAGCCAATATACAATAGAAGACGAATCTGAGTCCATAAATAATGAGATGTAAATTTATCAAACTTTAGGACCACCATTGTTCGCCCTAAAGCTCCAGCCACTACAGCAATTAATCAAACACGATCGGATCTCAAATGCACAAGGGGCAAAATTGTCCAAATTTCACTGTATATCTTGAAACAAAAAAATAACAGTACCAAAATGTCAGAAATGATGTTAGGAACAAGCTGCCTACATATACCATCGTCGAATTCCTCCTTACACGCCATTAGAGTGATCTGCGCATGGTTGCCATGAGTCGCCATCGGTTATACACACCACATCGTTATGATCGCCTCCACATGCACGACACACCAATGGTCTTGGTTTGTCCAACCGGTCATCGGATTGGCCGAAAAACACAAACAGATTCGACGGCCTTAAATAAAATCTGGATAGAATCGTTTTCTAATTTATGCTGGTTTTCTGATCGATTTTCGACCTGTTTTCATATTGGTTTCTGGTAAAAGATCCACCACCTTGAAGCTTTGATACCAATTGTCATAAAAGCTCACTCCAAGATCTTCGAAACAGTAATTTTCGAACTCAGTTTCATGTTACATTTTCTACTAAACAACCAATCAAAACGGCTCCAACCCATAACCAATATATTTACCTTGGTTGTTTCTCAATCCCACCAACAAAGGACAAGATAACAATGTTGATTTGCAAGTCACATAGGCACAAGAAAAACAATGAATAAGGTACAAAGTAGAAAAGAAGAAACAAGATGAAGTCGCCAATTTTTCGGAAGCCAAAGCAAGTCATGTTTTCCCTCCAATTTCCATAGCTAGCGATGGACCTAGAACCCGGTGAGGGGGCGCGGCTGCTCGTGCTAGGCTCCGTCGAAACAGTGGAGGTAGAACTGTAGAAGGAAGAAGATGACCAGCGACTAGTGAGGTTTGCTTGTTTCTGTTCTTTCTTTTTTAGTTGGGCCTTCTTGTTTGGGCTTATTCACAACCTGTGGGCCTTTTTTTTAATTGACCAGGCCCAATCGGCCAATCCAATCCATTCACGATATATACCAAAACCATTTGAAAGCATAGATGAAAGAAAAAACTAAGTTCTTCAAACCCTCATCAACGTTCCAACTTCCACCGGACGACGCCTCCACCTCCTACTGGCTATTGTAACCTACCGTGCTTGGACGACTCAAATCTCGGACCTCCCATCCCGCGTTGCAGCCTGTCATGATGTGTTCCTCTCCTCTACCGGAACAGTCAGAACTCGGACGGGACAACTCAAACTCATGAGCAGTGAGTCGTTCCCTTTTTTTTTTTTTGGTTTTGGTGATTGGTGTTATTTTTTATTTATGAGTTATGAGTGATCACCGAGGTTATTAAATGATAATTGATAAGTGAATGGAGAGATTTTATCGTTTAGTTGTCAGTGTTCATCTCTTGCTAGTTGCTACTGAGCATTCTTGATTTGTTTTGATATGGAAGCATATCGACCTGCATAACTTATAACATATGAATTATTGATTTATGTTCTATGAGTTAATTGGTAATTTGACTTTGAAATGAGAATTGTAAATTTGTGAATATGAGATTGGGAAAAATAATTTATGTTGCATGAGTCATTGAGTTATGAGTTGTAATTTATCATTTACGAGTTTTTATTTTTGATTTGGATATTTATGTTTAGGAAACTTTAGGACAAGTGAGAAAAAAAAATCAATTAAGATGTATTGAAATATATTTTCATATGTTTATAATTTTTAAGTTTTAGTGCATTTACATATATATTAAATAATTTTTAACATTATTTAATTAAATATTAATAAACGATCTCGTTATTACGATCGTTGATTGTCGACGGTCAGTGGTCAACGATCAAAAGTCGGTCCGCCCTAGCTGAACTTAGGTCCTGAATTCGCCACTGTCCACAACCACTTTTTTTTTCTCCTTTTACATACAAATCACACACACGAAAATGGCTAGGTTAAGCTACACATATATAGGAATATGTTAGTTGCTAGTTGGACCAATAAAGAAGTTAAATGGGCCAAGATTAAATGACATCCAATAGGTAAATATATGAGTCGTGAACAACATTAATTTTTTAAACTATTTCCAATGGTTCATGTTGTTTTCGGGTTGAGCTTTGGGACTTGGTTATTAGTAATCCATTCACCATTGGTCGAGGCCTGTGAAAGTATATTTCGATATTTTAAATCATAACT